CTGTCTTTATTTCTTTTCTGGCCATTTTATTGTTCGTTTCAACTCATGATCTCTGAAAACATTTTTCCATATAGAGGAGGGGTATTGCTAGAAATGGTGCACTCTAGGCATCAAATATGCTAGGTATACAGTAGTCATGGAATATGAGAATATAACAGTCATGGCTTTCATAAAGATTTATAAAATATAAGTCTTCCAGAGCACCTGGGTGGCTCAGTCAGTTAAGCGTCTGCCTTCGTCTCAGGTTATGATCCTGGAGTCCCGGGATCGAGCCCCACATCGGGCTCCCTGCTCAGCGGGAGTCTGCTTCTCCCTTCACCCCTCACCCCACTGGAGATCTCTCTCTCCCTCTCAAATAAATAAATACAATCTTAAAAAAAAAAAACTATAAGTCTTCTGAAACCTCTAGTGACTTAAAAAGAGATATTTCATCATAAAAAGCCAGAGGATGGTAGAGGTTTCATCCTTTTACTGAATATGTTTATTTGAATTATTTTTAACATTGAAAATTCCCCACCATTAGCTATGAATGTTTGAGAATAACAGCAGGAACAACTAACGTTGGCGGATACATCCCATCCAAAAGCAACTGTGTTCCTCACCTCTGTTTAGAAAATGTTTTTTTTACAAGACAAACCCCCAGGGACAGCTTTTGATTTCCTGAATGTCATGAAACAGCCTTGCGTGTCAACATGGATGTCTGATGGAGAATTCGAATTGTGCCATTTAGCTCTGTGTAGCTTTCCTGAGCTACAAACATCCGTTTGAGTCTCAGGGGGATGAGAAGTGTTAATACGCTCTTTGAACAAAGAGCGAGTCCTCTTGACTTTTAATGCCTGTTGGCAAGGCTGCATTAATCTATTCATTCCCCCATTCAAGAAAAATTCCTGTCCAGCCAATGTGGTAGCCAGTGATCCTCACCCTGCTGGTAAGAATATGCAAGAACCCCAGTGATGTTTCCACAATGCCACTGGGAGTCAGTGATGTGGTCAGGACCATCAGCTGGCTCTCCTCTCCTACCCCCTGCTCTGTGCACTCCCCCCATGCACATAGCCACCTAGGCTGGGACTAGAGATGTTCACTTGTGCTACTAGCATTGGGTGACAGCCTGATGGCTAAATGGAAAGGCAACATAGACTTAGAGCTGGTTTTATCATGTCAGTCACACACTGAGGGAGGTGAAGTTGTGGATGAGTTTGGGTAGGGGAGGATGGTGGGTAAGGATTTTCCTGTTTTCATCCTGTTTTACAGGGATTGAGGTCCAGGGAGACTGGGTGGCTATCTCAACATCACACAATATGTTAGTATTTTAGAGTATTTGAGCAACCATGTCTGAATGGTTATTCTAGTTTTTAGGTATTTACATGACTTTTTTAAATATCCCAAAAGAATCAGGCTCTGTATTTTCTCATGGTGAATAAGTGGAGTTTAAACATGGCCCATTTAATGCTTACTGCATTTATTCTGAAACAACCTGTGGTCTCCATGTCACTATGTGAGAAACCCGTGATCCAAGTGTGTATCAATTCCCTGAATCTGCCATGAGAGTCCTCCTTCTCTGCCTCTGCCCTTCCATGTCCTCAGTCTTAAAATACCTCCCCTGTCCCTTTCACTGTTCTGATTATCAAAGGGTTACTCATTCACTACTGTTCAGCTCAAATATAACTTTTCCATTAAGCCTTGTCCCAATAGTCCCAGCTGAGTTTAATCCTCTGCACACCCAAAGTCTGCACCTCTTTATAGTGTTATTTCATTCTCCCATCTGTCAAGCATCTTTATTTCCCATTGGAAAGCAAGCCCCTTGAAGGAAGACACCTTGTCTTATTTATTTCTATACGCCCCCCCAACAACTAACATACGAGGACTTCCAGGGTCCTCTGAGCCCTGTTTTCAGCTCAGATGAATTTGAAGTTAAAACGAGTGGTAAGGTAGATAGTAAATTTATTCTGGGAAAGTGGCTATGTTAGTTACTCTCATCTCATCAATTAAATGCTAAGCTTCTTGAGGGCAGGAAGGCCTTTTCTACAACCATCTTGCTGTTTTCCACAATGTTGGCACTGAGTTAGTTCTAGGCTCCATAAACTCTGACTGACTTATCTAGATTCAGGTATATGAAAAGCAAAGTTAGGAGCGTGAGGTAGTCTATTAACTTCAGGGGGAGGAATGAAGTTCTGGAAATGTGAGTTTCACTTGGCTTTTCAGCCTCTGGCCTCTTCGCTTTCTTGTTGCAAGTCTAACCACATCCAGGTGTTATATTGTTAGACACTTCCTTTTGGTAAATTATCTTACCCTTTCTCTTCAAGTTTTTGAAAACTTCATCCTTATAAATTGGCTTTTAGTTTGCTTTCATTTTTATTTTGAATTTTTGGAAGCAACTGAATTAGTAAGTCTTAAAGTGAACTTATTTGAGGTTTCAATGCATTTATAAATATAAAAATATTCGCAAGTTTCTGAAAGTTCTCCACAGTTCTCAATCTGGTTCCTGGACAAATCAGGTTTCTGAACAGAAGCTGATGAGATGTGAGCAGAAATTATACTGAGAGGTTTTTTGGAGGTTAATAAATAGCTAAAAATGAGAATAGTTATGCTGGCAAGGGTGTAGAAATAAAGTGGTACATTCAGCTAAGTAGAGCAGCATTTGCAAGGCAGGGCCAAAAGCTGTCTTTCACCTCAACATCCGAGTTGCCCTTAGCCTGTTTTGTCCTTAAAAGCTAGTTTAGGCTATCACCTCAGTTACGCTGATGTGAGACATACATCTGTTCAGAAGAACGCCTGGAGATGAGTGAAAGAAATTAATGAAGGGGATGTATTGGAAATATTGCTGAGAGGGTAGCTCAAAAGGGGGAAAGACAGAGCCAAGAAAAAAACAAACAAACGAACATAAGGATGTAGGGAAAGGAATTTAAAGAGAAAACACTCTCAAGATCTTAGCTCTAATGGAAAAACAAAAAGGTATGAACCACTATGGCATTCTTAACTAAAAGGAATCTGGTTGATTGTAGTTATTGTTTTACCAGCACAGGGAGTCAGTTCAGTAGTAGAATATTCTATGATTTATATACACTCATGATGTAACTGATACAAAAAAATTAAGTGGTTGTCATAAATTGGTGCCATTTTTCTTGCTCATGTACATGAGTCTACAAAGGGACAATATAATCCAACAAATATCAAAGAATGAATACTTCCACATAAGTATACATTCTAAGTAATTGAAGTTTGCCCCTTTTGAGCCAAAATGTTTTTTGACGTGACGATTTCTGATGAAATTCTTTGTAAAATGGGTTGAGCTCTTCTTTGTTTCAAAAAATAGATATATTAAGCCTTATTGAAAGTTTTGTTTGTTGATTCAATCTTCTTATTATGAATATAGTTATTACTCTGTATTATATAACACAATTATGCCCTCTAAGCTAATTAGGAAATGATAATAGATTTATAAGGATTATGTATAAAGTCAGAAGTGTTTGGGTTCTTGCAATATCTATTTTGCTTGTTTAGGGAATAATTCTTCTTCATGTATCTTGGTTCACAGTTACATCTTAGATGTTGAGGTTTCCAGGTAAATACTTTCATGGTAAGTTAAGGGTAACAGAACTTATTCAATAGTAATAGGTCATTTTAGAAGTTCTTTTTTCTTGACTGCAGATTTTATATGCAACTGACAATTACTAACAGAAGGTTCATAGACGATAACAGAAAATCTGTTTCTAGGAAAAAGCTCTCCCCACCAAAACAAAGGGAGGCAAATTCCTGTATGTTAGGCCAAAAGACAGAATTTCCAAAAGAGGTGCATCGCTGTTCCTCCCCCTTTGGAAGACAAAACATTCATGTTATGTCAGAACATCCTATCTTCCAACAATTATCTTGAGTTGCATGTGTCCTACATAGAAAAAGTCATGGAAAAAATTGCAAGGCAGCACTAAAGTCTTTGTGAAACAAGTAATGAAAATTTCTAATGCCAAGTATAATAGGGAAATAATTGTCTACAAAAGTTCCTCTCTCCCACTTATTGGAATATATCAGAGCTAGTAATAGAAAATGTGATTATTACTCAAGAAACAATAACAGAGTAATGGTTAATGATTTACAGAGTAATGGACTCTAGTATGAGTTTGAGTCTTGATTCCCCTATTTATTAGCATATAACTCTAGGCAAATGTTTTATAACCTCTGTAAGATAGGTGTCATAATAATATATTTTTTTTGTCGTGAAGATTAAATGGGTTAAAATATTTAATATGTTTTTTTTTAAGATTTTATTTATTTGAGAAAGAGAGAGGGTGAGAGAAAGCATGAGTGGCGGGCGGGCAGGGAGAGGGAGCAGCAGACTCCCTGCTGAGCAGGGAGCCCGATGTGGGGCTTGATCCCAGGACCCCAGGATCATGACCCAAGCTGAAGGCAGACGCTTAACCGACTGAGCTCCACCCAGGCATCCCTATTTAATGTGTTTTGAACAGCCCCTGGAATATAATAAATTATTGACCAAAAATTGTTATTATTATTTGCTACCATTGGAGTAGCTACAAAATAATAAAATAAAATAACATTTTATAATAATAAAAATGTCAGTAATATTTTGGAAATTGAGGAAATTATTTTTTTCAACAAATACTTATCATGTGCCTACTATGTACCAGACACTCTGCTAATAAGGGTTAATATACTGAAAAATGTTATCTGGAGAGGGGGCATCTGGGTGGCTCAGTCGGTTAAGTGTCTGCCTTCAGCTCAGGTCATAACCCCAGGGTCCTGAGATTGAACCCCATGTCGGCCTCCCTGCTTGGTGGGGAGCCTGCTTCTCCTTCTCCCTCTGCCTCTCCCCCTGCTTGTGAGTTCTCTCTCTCTCTGTCAAATAAATAAATAAAATCTTTTTTAAAAAATGTTATCTGGGAAAATTATAAAATCATATTTGAGAAATCTTTGGCAGAATCTGTTGAATGGCAAATACCTGGTCTTTATAGAGCATATTTAATTTGAATTTTGTTTTCATCTTTCAGGGGAAAAATCATGTAATGAACAACTGTATGTAAAGAGATATTCCATATACACTGTCTCAGCAGGGAATTCGTTTGATCTGAAATGCCCTGTGAAATACTGTACTAACAGACCTAATGTGATCTGGTGCAAGCTCAAAGGAAAAAGCTGTTTATCTCTTGGGTATAAACTTCAGGGATACACAAGCTGGAACGAAAATGAGAATATTTCAGTTTTTATTCTGCATTTTAATCACATGCTGCCTGGTGACACTGGGTCATACCGCTGTTCTGCAAATTTTTCATCTGGACTTGTTGAAAGCCATTCAGTAACCATTAATGTGACAGGTGAGTTCTACACCAAGACTCTCTCATATTTTCTCATCATGTTTTAAGGAAAAGGAAGACCCAGATTCTCAAGCATTTATGTTAGACACTGAAGTCACGTAAATCGGAAAGTTGCCACACTCCTCAGATTGTGATCTGTGTGAGCAAGTGTGTGTGTAATTTTGGGGTGAGGTAGAGAAAAATAGAGAAAAAATATAATAAAAGTTATTGTTCTTGCCTTTAGGGGGTATAGCATTTATTTGATAAATCCAATACTAGGCCACTGAAATACAGAAAAAATTACCAAGTGAATACCAATAGTAGTAGACAGCTCTCTATTCTTTGTCCTCTTTTCCTTTATTTTTTTCTTCTACTTACCAGTCCTTAACTTTTATTGATAATAAGTCCTTGAAATTATATTTGTGGTGCCCAGACAATTATACACTTGTTAATAATTCATATTTGCACAGAGAACAAACTGCGCACAAATAAACCAGACTCCCTGATGAGTTTTGAGGATGTTCATAGCTTTAGCTGCCTCTCCAGTCTCTCCCAGAGACCCTCAATAGGCTCAAATATCAGGAGAACAGGTTGAGGTTAAGTTGGGCAAAACCAACTGAATAAAACATGGAAAGCAAACAGAGAAGAGTAGAGGAAAATAAATGAGTATGTTTAATTTATGAAACTCCCACAACATACTCCATGGTAAAAGAGTGAAAGCTTTTCCTCTCAGAACAGGAAGAAGAGGAGCCTGGGTGGCTCAGTTGATTAAGCCTCTGCATTTGGCTCTGGTCATGGTCTCAGGGTCCTGGGATTGAGCCCCACATCCAAACCCACATCCAGCCCCACATTGGGCTCCCTGCACAGCCTGGTTCTCCCTCTCCCTCTGCCCCTCCCCCTGCTCATGCTTGCACTCTCTCTCTCTATCTCTACTCAAATAAAGAAAAAAAATTTTAAAAAAGAAGAGGAAGAAGAGGCTGTCTGCTTTTGCCACTTTTATTCAACACTGAACTAGAGGTTCTAGCCAGAACACTTAGGCAAGAAAAAAGAAATAAAAGGCATCCAAACTGGAAAGGAAGAAGAGGTAATATCACTTCTAAAATCCACAAAAGGTAGTAGAGTTAATAGATGAAATCAACAAGGCTGTATGATCAGCAAAAAAAAAAAAAAAAATGGTATTTCTATACACTAGCAATGAACAATCTGAAAAGGAAATTAAAAAAACAATTCTATTTATAGTAACCTCAAAAAGAATAAAATAAATTTACCTGGGAGGTTTAAGACTTATACACGAAACAAAACATGGCTGAAAGAAATTAAAGAAGATAAAAATAAATGGAAAGACATCCCATTCACATTGGAAGACTTAAAATTGTTAAGATGGCAGTATTTCCCAGGGTGATCTACAGGTTCAATATAATTCCCATCAAAATCCCAACAACCTTTTTTTTCTTTCTTTCTTTTTTTTTTTTTGCATAGATGAAAAACTGATCCTAAAATTCACATACAGTTGCAATGACCCATATGTTAAAAAAAAAAAAAAAAAAAAAAAATCTTGCAAAAGAAAAGCAAAGTTGGAGGACTCACACTCCTTCACTTAAAAATTTGCTATAAAACTACAATAATCAAAACAGTGTAGTACTGGCAAAAGATAGATATACAGATCAATAGAATAGAATTAAGAGTCCAGAATAAATCCATACATCTTTGGCCAATTGAGGTTTTTTTTCTTCCAAGATTTTATTTAAATTCAAGGTAGTTACCATACAGAGTAGTATTAGTTTCAGGAGTAGAATTTGCGATTTATCACTTTCATATAACACCTAGTGCTTATCACAACAAATGTCCTCCTTAATGCCCATCATCCATTTAACCCATCCCCCCCACTTCCCCTCCAGCAACCCTCAGCCTGTTCTCTGTAGTCAAGAGTCTCTAATGGTTTGCTTCCCTATTTTTACCTTATTTTATTTTTTCTGCCCTTCCCTGATGTTCATCTGTTTTGTTTCTTAAATTCCACATATGAATGAAATCATATGGTATTTGTCTTTCTCTGACTGACTTCTTTCACTCTAGTTCCATCCACATCATTGCAAATGGAAAGATTTCATTCTTTCTGATGGCTGAGTAATATTCCATTATATATATATACCACATCTTCTTTATCCATTCATCAGTCAGTGGACATTTGTGCTCTTTCCATAATTTGGCTATTGTGGATAGTGCTGCTATAAACATTGGGGCAGATGTACCCCTTTGATCAGAATTTTTGTATCCTTTGGATAAATACCTAGTAGTGTGATTGCTGGGTTGTAGGGTATTTCTATTTTTAACTTTTTGAGGAACCTCTATACTGTTTTCCAGAGTGACTGCACCAGTTTGCATTCCCACCAACAGTGTGGGAGGGTTCCCCTTTCTTCGCATCCTCACCAACATCTGTTGTTTCCTGAGTTTTTAATTTTAGCCATTCTGACAGGTGTGAGGTAGTTTAAGATAAAATGCTTCTGCACAGCAAAAGAAACAATCAACAAAACTAAAAGGCAGCCTAGGAATTGGGAGAAGACATTTGCAAGTGACATATCTGATAAAGGGTTAGTATCCAAAATCTATAAAGAACTTATCAAACTCAACACCCCAAAAATTAATAATCCAGTTAAGAAATGGGCAGAAGACATGAATAGACATTTCTCTAAAGAAGACATACAAATGGCTAACAGACACATAGAAAGTAATTAATGGTTGCCAGGAACTGGTAGAAAGGGATAATGGGGAGTAACTACTTAATGTGTAAGGAATTTCCTTTGGGGATGATGAAAGTGTTCTGAAACTAGATAGTGGTGATGGTTGCACAACTGTGAATGTCTTAAATACCACTGAATTGTATGCTCTCGGTGATTAAAATAATAATAGTAATGTTAATATGTATTTCACCAAGATAAAAAAATACTTGGATCAAAGAAGATCACCCTATAGTTAAAAGAAATGAAATGGAGCTTGTTTTGTGGCCCATAAACTGACCTGGAAGATTATTACAAAAGAGAAATTTCAAAAAGCTTTGGTGCACTGGCAGCATGTCTGAAATCTACATGCAGACTTAGGCAGTTACTTCTGTGGACACCATTCACTTGAATGCATACACTGTGTTTTTAAAAAATTTATTACTTTATATGCACACTTTGGAGTCAGTCTTTTAACTCCCTTAAAGTAGCCCAATGAAGGAATCCATTTAAATCCCTTTAATATCGGGCGCCTGGGTGGCTCAGTTGGTTAAGCGACTGCCTTCGGCTCAGGTCATGATCCTGGAGTCCCGGGATCGAGTGCCGCATCAGGCTCCCTGCTCAGCGAGGAGCCTGCTTCTCCCTCTAACCCTCCCCCTTCTCATGTACTATCTCTCTCTCTCTCATTCTCACTCTCTCAAAATAAATAAATAAATCTTTAAAAAAAATAAATCCCTTTGATATCTTTTAAATAACTTTAAGACCTCTGAAAGCAGCCTAGTAAGGGAATGCACAGTACTCTAGAACTAGCTGCAACCCTCTATTATGAAGCATAGAAGTATAGAAGGGATTTATGGCAGAGTTAGAGACTCTGTTTTTGCAAATGTGGCGTCAAAGACAATGCTAATTGCCAGCGAATATCCATGCACTGGCTTATAAACTTCTTTGGAAAGGAAGCTGTGTCTTAAACATCTTTGCTTCTCTACAAATAGAAGGCATAGTGTATAGCACATGGTAGGCGCTCAATAAATATTTCTTTATGATTCTTAAATGAATTAAATGACATAATCTATGCAAAGTGAAACAATTGCCTTTAATAAGCTGGAGAAGCTTATACTGAAGATTATGGAAAGAATGCTTTCTGAAGAAAATTGCACTATTAATTCACATAATGAGATATTGAATTTTTAAAGAAGTATTAATTTTTTAACTGGCAAAACAAATGATAAAAATAAGCCAAACTTGCAAAACATTACTCCCAGGATATTAATTACATGATGAAATATACAATAATTGAACGCTATTAGATTATTTATATAATGTATGTTAATATAACGTATAATAAAATAAAATGCAGTGGCATTGAGTTCACATTCCTTGGAAAAGCTGCCTTCTTGTGTAATTCTCTTTTCCTTCATGGGAACCAATACCCTTCTGTACAAGAGAGAGGAATGCAACCAGTGTCAGGGGCAAGCCAATAAATACTTCTGACATGGAAGTGTCCCAGGGGTATTGCTGTGTCTCCTTTGTCCCATATTGGGGTCATTCCATAGCCTCTACAGATGGTTGCACTGTTTGTAAAGTACGTAAAGGTCCCTGTTCTAGGAATCAAGTTGGGGCTAAAATTAGGATCAACAATCTGTCTCCCTTGGGGAGGAGAGGGCTGAAGAGAAGAAAGGCAAGAAGGGCAACTTCTCCCTCCATCCCTGTGATCCCTGTGTCCTGGGGGGATGCACTTGTTAGGATCATACTGGAGAGGAGAGATGAAGATGGAGTGGTGAGAGGGAAAACTACATAGGAGACATGAAGGGCCTTTTAAGTTTTCCTTTGGAGATTTCTATTCACCTAATTTCGTACTCTCCTACCTTTCTTATCACCTTGTAAATTAATGCTCCTGACCAAGGGGATTCCCCAGGACTTTTCTTTGGCCTTCTACTCTTGTCTGTCAGCAACCTTCAGTCTGGGATTGCCTCCCTCCTCTAGCTTCATGAGCATCTCAAACCTTCATTATCTTCCTTCCAAATATTCCAATCAGCCATATGGACTCTGTGGCTTTAGTGTTTCCTATTTTGGTCCATTTCAGCCAAATATCTTCCTAATACACTTAATTTGCCTAATAAATTTCTTCCATCATGCCACTCCTCTACTGAGTCTTTGGCAGAGCATCCTCAGTGCTTCCAATGTTGGGCTCGCATTTAACCCGCATTCAAGGCCTTCCACAGTCCGTGCCCACCTGCCTTTCTGGATTGTTTCTTGACTTCACTTTGAGTCTCTGCTCCAGCCCAACAGCCCTACCTGTCATTGCATGTCTTCACCATGCTCCTCTGACCTTTCATAGGGAACTCATTCATCTGCCTCCACCCACCACAATTCTGCCCTTCCTGTCAAGCCCAGTTCATTTCCCAGTTCTTAATGAAGCCTTCCAGGGCTCACCCTAAGGGAAATGATTTCTCTTTTCTAGCATATTTCATGCCATTTAAGCTCTGTGCCTCTCATTTATCAGACAATTCCTTGTACTGTAGTAATGTGTGGAAATGTTCTTTATCTCATGAAGAATTATAATGTCCTGGGAAGCAGAAACTGCGTCGTATTTTTCTGGGTCATCCTTGCTTCCCTCACAAAAGCCAAATGAATTATTTCAGAATTGGCTTTGAACTGGGCACGTATTTTCCTTTCATGAAGTGATGAAAACAAACATAATAGGGAAAAAGTCAAAGAAAAATTCCTTTTCCTTCTGTACCTGGGAATACTCTGTGAATTGAGTACTGAAGGAGAAAAATATAATCTGAAATTATATTTAAGGATGATGCTTTTCATAAAAACAAAGTCAAAGTATGATAAAAAAAATATTTCATTTTCTCCCCTTGAAATATCTCTTTTAGGGGCTATTGGGAATTTTCCTGTTTTTGTATCTGACTCTCCTTTTCTTTTTATGGTCAAGTTAAGAATTGGCCCATGTAAAAAAAAAAAAAAAAGAGTTGGTCCATGTAAGAAAAGGGCTGTGGCAGAGTCAGGGCTTGGATGCTATTGGGAAAGCAATATTCTCCCAGAATGAAGATAAAACGCTTTGCAAAGCAAAGCTCCAGGAGAAAAGTTGACAGCTGGGAAACGGTCACTGGAATGTACATTGACCTGCAGCTCCATCCTCCCCAACTTGCCCTTGGTCAGTCCCCCATTAGGAAATTCACAAGGGCGGGTCGTCATCCTCTCAGCAGCAAAGTGGGGGTGGAATGAGTGGGCAGGAAGCGGGAGGCACCATCTGTTTCAGAATGATACTCAGCATGTCATCAGAAGCATCCTTTCCTTGTGGCTCTCCACACTCACTTGGAGCACCTGCTGAATGAATATCTTGTTTTTCCAAGCTGAAAGGTGTCATACAGGCTGTATTCTATCTTTATACTTAAGTAATGGGGAAGAGGGAATCAAACCAGACCAAGTTTGTCTTGTATGTACAGTCTTTCTTCAAGCCTTGAAATAAACCCAGAGACTTATTTTGTGTCCATTATCCTAAGGTGATGATTTGCCAATTGTGCAAATTCTCTTGAGCTGGGTTACTGGATTCTGTTAGTGTGCAAATGCAGGCATCCCCTCAGAGATTAGCTCTGACTTTGGACACGCCTGAGTATTGTTTTTACAACCAATTTCACTTCTTTATCTTGATTTTCTATTTCAGAATGGACTAGAAATAATTCAGAATACCCTCTGATAAGTAAGTATCAAACCAGTCGGATTAAATTAAGGAAACTAGATTATTTGGTGGTCGGAGAAATAATAAAAATTGGACACTCCTAACTGAGAGGATTTGTTTGTATTAGGTTATCTATGTGGGAACTTTTGTCCCTATTTCTATTCATAGCCTTCCCCCAGACAGCTGTGTCTGTCATCATTGGTAATGACTTGGTGGCTGTCCTAACCCAAGCAGCAGCTGCAGCATAAACAATGCAGCATTTGTTACCAGTCTGAATTACATAACCACTGTTTGCCCAGCCTAAGTATCTCCTGACTACCTTTACAAACCAAGCACATGTGGAAGCAAACTGATAATGATGTTAATATATTTAGAAATAAAAATTTCCTGCATAAAAAATTTAACATATATACAAAATTAATGATGTGTGATGCATTCTGATAGTTTTTATTCTGCTGCAATTCATGTTTCTAATTTTTTTGTGATCTATTAAATTGTTTCATGACTCGTCAGTGAGTTGCAACCTACCACGGACAAACAGAACCTTAATGCATGTTAACATTGATCATAGCAATGAGCACTGGCTGTATGCCCAGCAAAGCATATTTGGTGATAACAAAGGTATCTTGAGATAAGAAAAATACTTAGTATTTGGAGATCCCAGGGAGTTATGAGACAACAAAAAGCCTTTGTGTTAAAGGAACTGGAATTTAGTATCAGAAACATGTTTGAGTCCCAACAGCAACTCACTAGCTATCTGACCTTGGGCAAGTCTTGGAACAATAACACTTTTATCAAGGCATGAAACTGGATAAAAATAATGGCTTCCTTACTTTCCTTTAGGAATGAATATGGGAGTTAAGTAAGACGATGTCATTGAAAGAGCTTGGTGAAGTGCTTGCTGAGAGCTGTTATGGGTATTGTTTTAGAGGGGATTGACCCTAGCAGAATAAAAAATTCTTACAAAAGATGAATTATAACCCAGAGCCACCCACATATGCTCATCAATAAAGCAAGAGGTGGGTGAGAACACTGAGGCCCAGGGTTCTTGGGGAAGGCTTCTGGAAGAGAAAGAGAAGCATCAGCTAGAAATCTTCATTTAAGTTGTGACGGTGCAGAAGGTATTACCGATCCTATTATATCTCCAATTTCCTAACTGTCTTTAGCATTGACTCACATTTCAGATACAACCAGTGCCTCAGAACCGCCCTCCACAGAAGTGACGGATGATAGACAATGGATGCTTTATAGTTTGCTTCCTTTGGGGGCATTGCTTCTGCTCATTACCTGTTTCTACCTATTCTGCTGCCTTAGAAGGCACCAAGGTGGGTTCCATCTTCCATCTGTTGCTATGTGCCACACATTTGGGGTTCAGTTACTAGAGCTGATTAATTTTTAGTTAGTTCCTGTTGTTTTCTTTCCCAATATTCTGTGAGGAACCACGGATAATGATTTCCTCGGGGACAACTCATCCTTCCACCAAAAAGACAGATGGATTAATTCAGGTCCCTTCCAGTCATGGTGAGACACGGCCACCACAGCACCATGCTCTAGGCAGGGGTTGTAATAAGGAGGGCACATGGCTGGGACTTACCCATTCTACTTGTGTCAATCTTAAGTTAATGGGACAAGCAGCTCTTCTAAACTTTAAGGGTATTGAAAGGGAGGTTTAAATTAATCTCTCAGGTCAACATGTCTAATTTGAATTAGTCTCATTCTCTTTTTCACAGCCACACCACATCATGCCAATCATACACACCCTTGTCTAAACGAAGACCAAATGTCCCCAAAGGAAATTCCTATGTCTGTACTTTCTGAAGCCATCATAAACACGCGCCTGAACTGAACCATCACCCAAAAATAATGCACTTGAAAAATGTGGGTTTGGCTAGGAGGGGAGAGGTGTGACATCTTAGAAGCAATTCCTTTCTGCTTTTCTACGAATTCCTTCAGAGTCATGAGCAGACACTTAATCAGAGTAAGAGAAAGATGTGTGGAGAATGCTGATGTCGCTCTAACCCAAAATACCCCAGCTCTCTCTCTGTCTTTACTGTTCCCTCTGCCATCTCCTCCCACCATTTGCCACACTGAAAGCTGCAGTGTAGCTATAGAAATGAAGCTAGACAGAGCATCCTTTATTTCTGCCACAAAAGAAAGCTTTGTCTGGGCAAAAGTACTTCTGGTGTTTTGTGGTAAGGACTTCCGGAGCCCAGAAACTTCTCAGAATACTGAGGGAATCCTCTGTAACCCCAGCTTCACATCTGCAACTCCAAGACTCTTTCCATGGTCCCTCCCCAGCTTTTACCATCTTTATTGAGGCTGCTTCAGAAAACTTTAGAAAAAGAGGCAGGGATAAATCCTTTGACCTACCACATCTGGAGTGAAATGGGCCAGAGGAGATCCTGGCCTCTGTAGCTGAGGGGATAGCAGTGTGTCTGACATCAAGTATAGCATATCCCCAGCACAAGGATTTCCAGCGTGTTTAAAATGATGTACTAGATCCTGCCCCTTCCTCTTGGATATACTGTAGGGCTCTCTGGAGTAAGAAGTAAAGAACCAGTGAACAAAACGAGCAGCATGAATGCACACAAACTGAGGTGTATGTGCCTTGCTGGTCACAGCAAATAAACAAGCCAAAACTAGTAATAACACTGCCATGCCATGCAAGTGGGTGGACATGGGTGGGGAGGCATTCCACTTCTGCTCTAGACACTGAATTTCAACCTAGCAATCAGATTCCAGAACCCATATTCTTACCACAACCTCAATTTACAGGGAATTGGGGAAGAATTTTGTGTTGTTCTTTACTCTTCTTGGTTTCTTATTTTTCTTTTTGAATTCCAGCAGAACAAAAGAAGTCTTCTGATACAACAGGAAGGGAAATTAACCTGGTATGTTCTATGTATTTGTTAAAACAAATGCAATCTATGTTATACCATTTTCATCTTAATATATTATTTTAAATTTAATAAGGCTATGTAACACTCACCCTGTGCCAGGAACTGTCCAAATGCTCTCTGTATATTGACTTGCTTTAAAAAAAATATGTTTATTTTACATTTACCTCCATCTGCAGCAAAGATTCTTCAGGATTAACAAGACTCATAATAAGAAGCCTTTTGGAAAGGCATGAGTGGCAGTGCAGACTGGAAGTAGAAAATTCAGAGTGGATTATATAACCTTGGCTCTGCTCTTGGCCTGTTATGTAACCTCAGGCTATTCATTTAAATACCTTGAAGTCTTTCTCGAAGAGAGTTGAGAGTTAATGAAAGAATGAACCATAAATTATCTCATAAAATAATGTGTGATTTCTTCCTAGATCACCAGCAGATAAAGAAGCCTGACAGGCCAAAGTTGTCATGCAAAAGTCTTTCATAATGTGTGTGGGCTCATCAAGGAAGAGACCACCCAGGCAAAGCCTAGGGCATTTTGGAGGCAGAGCCAAGTTTTCCTACAAGTTCTTGGAATATAAAATTAGGCTTTTTCTTTTGGGTTTAATGTTGTGTAAATATTGGCACTTAAAAAAAAAAAGCAGGCTGAGGCAATACATTTCTGAAAACATTTTATGAAGTTCCTTAGCTAAAAGCAAATAGTCATAATTAAGGTACTGTAAAGGAGCTTTGTGTGTGAGTGCATGTTTCAGGGTAGAAGGGTAGAGATAAAGATGTAGTAACCTTCTCAAAAGTTCCAGAAGTGCCAAAGGCAGGTATCGCCAATAATTTTACATATAATATTAAGTGACACTCAGCATCCCCACCAGGTTGCCCACTTTTAAATCAAACCAAATGCATTCAACTTTGTAAACTCATACTAAGTTTTTAGTAAGCGGAAATAGGCAACATTGTGTTGGGTGCTAAGGTTTTGTTTCTTCAAGCAGGAAAATTTTCTTAAATGTTGTTTTCTTACTTCCTGTAGTGAACACCAATGAACTACATTCTGTTACCATCAGGACTGAGATCTATGAAACCATTTAAAATGATAATCTAAATAGTTTCTTGTTAAGTTAAGCCCAGGTTGGTTAAAATGTAGTCATAGTTCTTCCTGTGTAGGCTGGACAAATTATTTATGATCTGAAGTTGAATTCAAGAGGGATTCTGTGTGTGTGTAATTATTCAGGAATTTTGTTTTAAGATGTCTGTGTCTTTCACAGGAACTCAGAGCTTTGTGCCATTTGAGTTGGCCAACATTTCAGAAAATAAAGTGATGTAATATTAAATCTTTGAGACAAAAGCTTTCTTAGGAAGGGACTTGCATTGGAACCAATGGAATAGAAATCCAAAGGAGAGAAAGGAACTGGTAAAAACATGGCAGGTACATATAAAAGCCAAGGTTCTCGTCTTATTCCACAGTGGTCCCTGGAGGGTAAATGTACTTAAATTCTAAAAAACACTCAGCTGTGTATTTTTTTAAAGTGCTTTGTAAACTGTAAAATGCCATACAAATATAGAGTAGGATAGCTGCTTCAATGTCTGTCCTCTCTATCAACCAGAGTGTGGCACACCAGCTTGTGGCATCTACCCACCTTGCTGAGGTGCCACGGGATACAGTCAGCCACAGAGCACCATGTTTTCTTCAACCTCATTCATTTTAATTAAGTTTTCCATGGAAACCAGCCATCTTTTGGGAAGGGAGACAGAGTTGACAGACATATATACTGTAAAAGTACAACAAAGATCTTTTTGATATATTGAGGATTTATGGCTATTTATTAGGTCATGTGACAGTTTTATTCTTCAGTGCTTCTCTGGAGATTTTAACCAGGCTCCTTCAAGTGGAGGTTGGGGCACTTTTCAGCTGAGCCAAGAGACTGGGGAGGGTAAAGCAATTCCTGCTTCGTTCAATCATTCAGCCTTAATGTTATTTTCTGGGCAGCTACCTCATCAGAGGGAAGCAGGATACTCAGCAGCTAGTGTTTAGCTTCTCGGGATAGGGCCAGACAAGCACTTGTGGTAGAATTCTGCCAAAGAGGGGTAGGAGATGTACTACTTCACATACAAAATGAGGACGACAAAGGACCTGACAAGGCATGTAGACTGTCAAAGACAGTGGACTTGATGCCTTCAAGGAGTTAGGCCAAACTTCAAGAACATAAATTGACTGACAAAACTGATATTTAAAAATTGAAATAACACCTCTTAGCATTAAAATGGTATCTTCATTTTTTAGCAGGTAAGGTTCTTATAGAGCTAGAAGTGTTCTGTGACTTCAAAAGTGACTAGTAACAGCACAAAATAACTACTTGGGAGGAACACAGTGGTTCTAAGCCTTTCATATTTCAACAAGTGAGAATCTGCTACAGATGTAGGTGTCAGCAGCAAAAGTGAGGAAGAGTAAATTATCTCTGTTGGTGTATTAACTCAATTTAGCATCTACTTATAGTTTGCTAATTGTATGCACTGTCACATCCTTAGGTGGTAGTTAAAACAATTTTTTTTTCTCTTATAGGTTGATATTCCCCAGCCCTTTAGGAGTGAACAAACTGAAGTGGGAACCAGACAAAATCCCCAAACCCTGCCATCAGAAACTCGTACTTATGATAATGACCCCTGGTTCAGGGTCCGGGAAGAGCCTGAAGTTTATTCTAACCCATGTCTGGAGGAAAACAAACAGAGCATTGTTTATGCCTCCCTGAACCATTCTGTCATTGGAATAAACCCAAGACAAGCAAGGAATGTGAAAGAAGCACCTACAGAATATGCAGCCATATGTGTGAGGAATTAAATTCGATCTTGATCTCCAGCAGTGATCACTGAATGATCAGCATGTCAACACCATTATCTGAGCCCAACAAAATGTCCAATAATATTCCTTGACCTGAGAAGTTTCACTTCAAGGAGGTTCATGTTGGTGCTTGGGTCTTAAGGGTCCATAGGACAAATGACTAAAATTTCTCCCAAAATATTGCAAGGGAACTTTTTTATATTATAGCCTTGAACAACACAAAAACCCTTCCCTTCAAAACTGAGTGGTATTATGAGTAACAGGTTAGTAGAACGTTTAAACTTAGCTACATTTTACCCAATGTATAAAGTTAGTATATTTTTTGGAGGATAAGAGACACATGTAGGCAAAAGAGATTTGTGTTATCTGGATTAGTTCACTACATGCTCTTGACAAAGAAAGAATGTCCCAATTTGACTAACTAACCATCAACAAAGTAACAATGGTATGTTTATTTCTGGTCATTCTTCCATGATGAGAAATTTTCCTCTGTCCATCTCATACTGGGGTTTCTTAAATGTAAAGAAGAAATCATTTTAGACTTGATATAAGAAAAGAATGGGGAGAATAAATGGTGCAATTAAGATGTGGAATACACCAACTAATGTCGAGCAGATGTTGCCCATCCCTGACAAATGGTTTTATGTACCCTGTTACACTGCTAAGCAAACATAGGTAGTAATGGAGCTATTAATGTGTGGTGCGTTTATAAACAAAGTTGTGACTCAGTGTTTGGGTCACATGGACTAATGTATATAAATGTGACATAATGCTGCTAAACTAATATACTTGGGGTTGTCTAAATAAACATAAAAATCAGTGAAAATAAGTATCATCCAGCAAGTGCAGATTGATAGCTTAAACTGCGTCATGGCTGACCTGATAGCAAATGAAAAGCACAGTTAATGGAATAGCGAAAAGTCTGGAATATTTAGTTGGCCAAAACAGGTCACCAAACTTTCATTAAGCACTTCCGTATCTTGCTGCTCTTCTTACTAAGGAATCAGGGCAAATCATACATAGCAAAGTGGTACGGCTTCATAACAATTCATTTTAAAATACTGTAGTTGCAGCCACTTGAGTCCAGCAAGAGGAGATGGTTTCAAAGTTTCTGAATTTCCAGAGTACTTGAGTCTAATTATTTCAAAAATAGCCTACAACTTTATTCAACAGCTTGAGGCTATTAGGATTCTCAGGTGCTGCTACTAAATAAGGCAGTACACCTCATACAAAGTGGACAGCAAAGGTTGGAATCCATTTGAACAAATAGGTGAGCTGCTGCACAAATGAATGTGGTGTGTGTGTGTGTGTGTGTGTAGAAGAAAGACTAAGTGACTTACAGAAATGGTAAAAAGAGATACTGACAAAATTGTTTCAGTTTCCTAAAAAGTTCAGAATACTAGAAAAAAATGGGTCATTAAAGAAAATGTATGAAAATAATGTTTGAAATTATGGCGATGGGATTATGATATCCCATAAAATTTTTTATCCCATAAAGATAAAACTGGGATTTTGTGGTGGAGCTTTTCTTCTGTAACAACACTGGCATTAAGATTTTGCTCCTTAGATTGGGATTGTGGGTATTGCTTTAGACTCACTGTTATCAGTATGATAGGGCCATACCTGGAATTTTGAGCAACTGGTTCTAGGTAGGCTCTTTCAGCCAAGCTGCATTTATAAGCAACTACATACAAAAGATATATTAGAATAACTGTTTGCGGTATTCTTAAATATAGAAACAGGAAGTACGGGGAGGATACATTTAGCTACCCTTATCAGATAAACACACAGCTGAACAGTTCCTTCATAATTTTCTTAAATTTAAGCAATAAAATATTTCTGTCTATTGTTTAGGATATTCTTAGCATGTCTTATAGTAAAGATAATGTTGATAATGATTTTACCTCTACAATGATTTATTCTTACATTTGTACCATGCTGCCAAAATTCCAAACCACTTATGTTTTTATTGCTTCTTAATAAAATGTCAGAATTATATATGTATTTCCCAAATAAATCTATTTCAGTATTATTTGTGTGGCTTATTTCATTAATAATAAGGTAATGAATAATAAAGTTTTTACAACTTATTTGGAACCAATTTGGTATTGGCTTTTGTACTAAAAAAAAATGCGTGGACATGAAGTAGAAAAATGATTCTCAAGCCTAATGGTACTTAAAAACAGCCTCAAAAACTTGATAAACTGCAGATTACCAACTCCTAGCACTAAGTAATTCTCATTCACAAGATCCGGAATATATGCTCTACAATCTTCACCATTGAAAGACACCCCAGATCATTTAAATCAGGTTTCCCAGTGTAGAGGCCAGTTTGGTATATGTGGTTTATTTGATCAGTTTTGAGCAAGTACCAAGGAACATGATTGCTGGGTCATATGGTAAGAGTATGTTTAGTTTTGTAAGAAACTGTCAAAATGTTTTCCAAAGTGGCTGTACCATTCTGCATTCCCATTAGCAATGAATAAGAGTTCCTGTTGCTCCACATCCTCATCAGTATTTGGTATTGTCAGTGTTCTGGATTTTGTCCATTTTAATAGGTGTATAATAATATCTCTTTTTCCTAGTTTGCAATTTCCTATTAACATATGATGTTGATCATCTTTTTATATTCTTATTTGCTATCCATGTATCTTCTTGGTGAGGTATCTATTCAGGTCTTTTGCCCATTTTTTTAATTGGGTTGCTTGTCTGTTTATTGTTGAGTTTTAAGAGTTATTTGTATAGTTTGGATAAAAATCTTCTATCAAATATGGTTTGTGCAACTATTCTCTGTGGCTTGTGTTTTCATTCTCTTAATGGACATCATTTATAGCATTTATTTGTTATGTTTGCTGCCATATTAGACTCTGGGCTTCTTATGAGTCAGGATTAGGTTACATTTCTCTTTAGTATCTTATCCCAGTGTTTGGCACATAGTAGAATTAAATAATGTTTAAAGAATGGATGATATTGTTTGTGAAGCGGGTCATCTAACCCCTTGCTACTTACAGGATGGCCCTCAAATTGGTAGAATGGGTATCCCTGGAGAGTTGTTAGAAATGTAGAATTTCAGTCTTCACCTACTAAATAAAAACCTGCTTTTTTTCACAAGAAATTCAGATGATTTATGAAGCTTAGCCTTGATGAACCCACATGTCCCCACCAGGAGTCAGGTGTGGCAGGAAGCCAAGTCATTCATGACAGACTCATTTGGAAAGTTCTATTTTAGGCAGGAACAGGAAGAGCCTCACCACCCAGCCCAGAAAGTAAAAATGGCATGTGAGAAAGAAAACATTACTACTTTATAGAATGTCTGCCCTGAATTTGAGAACACAGGAACTGAAAATCCTGTGTTAGAAATCAAGTTACAGGTTCAAAAGCAAGTTCTGGGGATTGATCTTTAAGATCAGGCCCTATTCTGAAGTTAGTCAGGGTAAACGTTCCATGGGAATCGCTTTATCTGCAAACAATCTATCACCACATACTAGGCACCTACTAGTTTGTTAGGTTCTGAAGTGACATGGTTGAGAAAGATTCCATTACTGCTCATCACTGCTTATAGCATAGATGAATGAGGTAGAAACTGAACAAAAAACATAATCTGGTAGCAGAATTGTTCTCAGTCCTCTGTCTCTACAGGTCCTTGACCAATTGAAACATAAAGAAGTCAGACTGGGGAAAAGATTAACGTTAATGGTAATGGTAAATTGGTGAGCATGGCTTGGGTCCAATGATAGCATAAGTTTCCTACCAGTTCCTCCACTTAAATCCTGCTTGACTCTGGGACTTATTTATAGGAAGAGTTAGGTCTAAAAAGAGACACCCAACCAGCCATGTGGGAGATGTCAGTCTCCCTCAAACTTTCGTAATTGCAAATGAATGAGAGCCAGGGATGTGATGACAACCTTCTTTGCCTTGAATGCAAGGGCTCCTTCCCAAGGTTATCATGGTTAAAAGAGTGAGAGGGTCTGTCCAACTCTCCAGTCAGTTAAATGGATCCTCATTCTATAAGAAGTCTGCAAGAGGGTAGATCACCCTATTTCAGAAGATAAAGTAAGAATGGGAGGCAAGAAAAAGAATGATTTTTTCCTAATTTTGGGTAAGTACTTGATGGGTGTTAAGTTACTAGAGGAAGTGACAGGATATGAGCCAAATTTTAGCTGTCATTGTCACCTAAATAACATATAGGTAGTTTCAAAGTGCTTTCCTGTATATTATAACAAAGCATTTTATGCACTGTGAGAGTTCAATTGCAACTATTTTCTCTTTATGCTTCTTGGTTGATCAAGATGTGTGTAACTAACATGCTGATATGGCCATACACTTTATTTTTATTTTAGACAATATCATTATAAACTTATTCAAGTCTTAATCAAAGTTTGACAATTGATAAATAATTTTATTTGAGGTTAAAAGAAAAAGGAGGGTCAGGATTGTCTAGAATTTCATCAGGTTAGAAACTTCCAACTTTCTCATGCTACCTTAAAATGGCTAAAAATGATAATAATAACTCCAAACTAGACAACCACAGGTGGAATTGTTTTTCAAACTTCTGGGAATTTGTGTTTTCTTTGAGTGATACTCTATGTAGAGATTGGAAAAGATAGGATATCAAATTTTATTTGAGTGATATTAATATTTGGTATGTCTCTCAAGTTAAGAAGTGCAAATTAAATAATATTACCATGAATCTCTTCCAAGGAAGTAATCCAAGTAGAATTGGATCCATAGTGGAGCTATAGCCTATAGGTTGGCTGCCATATTAAATTGAGTCTTGTGCTCTAGGGCTTTTTATGGTCCATAATCAAGCATTAATAATCACTAGATAATATTTTGCCTTTTATGATTTTTTTTTAAGATTTTATTTATTTATTTGAGAGAGAGAGAATGAGAGATAGAGAGCATGAGAGGGGCGAGGGTCAGAGGGAGAAGCAGACTCCCTGCTGAGCAGGGAGCCCGATGCGGGAATCGATCCCGGGACTCCAGGATCATGACCTGAG